TGGTAGGTGTAGGGCGAATATAACTCTATAACAACACTAAATGTAGCAAAATAATGTAGATACCTATTAACAAATGAACCACAACATTTACATCAAAGAAATTATCCTCAAAAATGTTGTCATTATAGTAGATTATATTTGTAGCTTAAGAGCAGTGAACAAAAGGACATTCCTTACATGAAAATGGTAAAGTTGCCCCTGTACTTAACTAATTAACACTACTCCTTGAATACTCGTGGGGAAGTGGATGTGTAGATTCACATATTATTGACCTCGGAACTGCTTGGGGGTGTGTGGTCGACTTCCCGCCCTGGCCTCTTTATCAGAAAGGGCCCGCGGTACCCATTGGGTGGCTGGGTGGGACCCAGAACAGGCCTGGACAGCATGGAGAAGAGTCTTGGCCACTACTGAGTATTTTTTATTACAATTAATTCGGAATCTATGTAATACCTACTTGCAAATACATATTCTCATTATAGTAAGCGGTTTAGAGTGCCGTGACGTATTGGCTATAGGCCCTGGGCCCTCCAGCCCTTAGCCAGTCGCTATAGCGGCTGGGCTATCCCGACCCCTTCATTACGTGAAAATTAAGTAAAACAGTATCAAGACGTCTAATGTTTGTGACTGGTACTCTGATACCAGCAGCTTCCAAAATGTAAGGGGAGTTAATGTAACCCATCCAGAATGTTCTTTACAAGTAATTTGTAGAGTTTTAAGTTATCCAAAAACATAATTAAAACTATATGAATTATGATTTCTGTTTATCTTTTGTGAGATAAGGCAGGAAACTCTGCAGACGTATGTAGTTTGTTGGGAGAGATCCAGACAGCTGAAGCGTATTCAGGGTTTGTTCTGTCTTCCACCCCCCTTGGCACTACAGCCCCAGTGGGCCTAGGCCTACCTCCATGAACTTCTCCGTTCACTTCGGTTTTTCTAGATCTTACACGTTCGGTAGGTCTCCTTGGGCGAGTGATCAGCTCGTCGCAAGGCCTCTACCTGTACACAAATACAGAAAAACGCACACACACAAACTGAACATCCATCCCTAAATGGGATTCGAACCCATGATCCCGGTTTCCAAGCGAGCGAAGACAGTACGTGCCTTAGAATGTTCGGCTACCGTGACCGACAGTTTGTTCTGTCTAGGCTGATATAAAGTACGAGTAACAGAAGACTATCTGATGAAGAAAAGAACAAAGTAATGTTTCGTGTTATGCCTAACAACTTCATAGCATGGAAACATAAATAATGAACATGATGCTGGAAATACAGATTAAAGTGTAGCAGGTCACCGAGGACTTCGACACAATCTTAAGTAAAATTCCAGTCACAGAGTGCACAGTTGAAGGCCAGCGTAGTGTTCGTGGAGAAAGAGAACACTGTGGTTCTACTAGCGTCCAGCTTTAGTTGTTAACGGTACATCAGTTTTCTGCACAGTTAATATCTGACTACAAAAGAACGTAGCCATCAGTAGAGGTGATATAACGAAATAATTTTATGTCATCAGCAAGAGAAAGAAAGAGGAAGCCTCAATGCTGCTGCATAGATCATTAATGTGTGTATTAAACTACAAAGGTTTTGAAAAATAACATAGAGGAATACAAGGCAGCGCAATGGAAGGCGACGAAATAACTCGAGCGTAACAAGATCTGTACTTACATAACTAGAAAGAGCCGTTAACATAACCAGTGAATAACCAGTAACTAGTAAGCTTATTCAAGGGGACGCGCCATAGCTCAAGCGGTTAGTCGCTGGCTTCCCACCGCGGCGGCTCGGGTTCCATCCCGGGTTCTGGTGAAGTGGGATTTGTGGTGGACAAAGTGGCGCTGGGGCAGGTTTTTCTTCAAGTATTTCGGTTTCCCTTGCCAATATTCATTCCACCAATTGCTCCACAATCACCCTCACCTGTCATCTGGGGCTGGTACAATAGTCCAGAAGTGGCCACAGTAAAAGGGACTTTGTCCCACCCCACTAGCAGTAAAATAACTTATTCAAAGCAAGGTATATAAAATCAAACCAAAGCTCTGCTGAGGTTAAAGTAGACGGAATCAAACTTTTTGAGAGGACACAATGAGTGTAACAGTGTCGAGAGAAGTGCTCGAATTATCAAGCTCAGAAGGATGTAACTAGGATTATCAGTCGCAGGACACAACATAATTCACTCTGTAGTGACAAGAACAAACACTAAGTGACCAGTTATGCGATGGTTTACAGGGCAATGAGTTAAGTAACGCTATCGCGCATGCGCGAGCTCTCCCCCCCCCCTTCCTACATTAGTTGCGTAAAATAAACTGAAATTACTTTCTGAATAGTCCTCGTTTGTGCATTTACAAGGAATACATATTATAATACATAATGTGAAAGTAATGATAATAATTAAATCGTAAGAATAATACGAGTAATAATAACAATGAAACTTATTAACAATTTCAAGCAATGGCATAGTCTTACCCGACCAGAATTCGATCTTCGATTATGCATACCAGGCCAGTGAGCTTATACATGCTAATTTGCATGTAATTTGCGATTAGAAGTAAATTTATATTACCTAAATATGACATTAGCGTCATAAGATGTAGAGGACTAGAAGAGTCAGCAATAAGGAAGTAGGAACTTCTCGTTTCTCGTAACCCAAGTCTCACTTCTGTCTACGTTTGCGGTATCTGCAGTTGCTTCAGAAAATATCATTTTTCTCTTTTCTGTACACAGCAATGGACGTTCAGTTAAACTACAAATGTACGTACATTTGATATTTGCATAGGTTGTAAGTATTTTACCACGTATTGTTCGAATGACGTTTCGGTTAGTAGACCCTCTGTCACCGTGAACTAAAGCGGAAGTTTTCTCGAAGAGACATACGAAACCCTAAAACCTGCTTTGGTAGAGAGAAATGATACTACTTAAGAACAGGAAGTGAAAGGGGGGGGGCTGAAAATGTTCGCGTAAAAAGCCATTAAATATTCAGTACGAAATCCATACAAGAAATTAGCTGGCTTATTACGTGACGAAACTGTTCCGTTTCTTCCAGTATCACTTTGCACATGCTGCATTAGACGTTGCATTGATGCGGTGGCGCATCTTCCCTATTGTTCGTTTCACCCCAACCCTTTCCTGACAGCTCTAACCCTCTTAATGTTTCGATGAGTTCCTGACATACTGAGACATTTGAAAGACAAGAAATGAACTGCAGTACTGTCTTATACTCCTGAATAAATACTGAAGCTTGAGTGCACACAGTTCAGTTTAATGGAAGGAAGGAGGGATGCAAGCCCTTAACATCTCCCCAACATACGCTTCTTAATGATGAAGATATTCAATGGAGGGTTCCCCTGGAAAAAGTGTTCGTCCCTCTTACTCTATGTGTCTTACAATATACGTGATTTCTTCCCTCGAAGCACTTTAGGTTATTACAAATGGAAGTTTCGAAGATCTGCGAGGAAAGTCTATAACGATGCGTTTCTTCGGTAACGTTATCATGGGATCAGACTATTTCATGATGTAATTCGGAAGCATGGCGCATTGAGTTGCGGCATTCCCTGAAACCCTTAGACGATAATTAAAATAAGTTTTGTGCTGGAAATGCAAGGACTAGGTCGTTTATGAGATCTGAAAAGCCTGGTTACGTAGATTCTTTGTTACAAATAACACAAATTTCGCCGTGAACACAACCGTCTTTTTATTTGGGTAAAACTTGGGTTACACTACATGTTTCGACCCTCGAAATGTCATTTTCACATGTTTCCAGTTACACATGATTAATTACTGGATTTCAGTGTGAAATCGTTATATATGTATGTCTCTATGTAAATAGGTATATAGGGATTTCACGTTGCAATTCAGTAATTAATAATGTGTAACTTGAAACACCTGAAGATGACCCTTTAAAGGTCTACACATATAGTGTAAGCCAAGTGTAACCCAAATGAATAAAATGTTGCGTTGACCGCGAAATTTGTATTACTATTTGTACTTAACGCAACAGGATGCAAACTACAGTTCTTGGTTTGTTTAGTTGGCGTCTAGTTATTCACAACTGCTGATCACGCCACCACTCAGGTAATTCGTGCTTCACTTCACACCCTGGAAGCCTGAATTCAATCTCAAGATAGTCAGTTTGGGATTTATGATGGGAAAAGTGACAGCATTTTCTCCTAGCACTTAGATCTTATCCTGTAGACAAAGTGGTGCTGGGGCAGGTTTTCTCCGAGTATTTTGGTTTCCCCTGCCAATCTTCATTCCACCAGTTGTGGAGCAACTGGTAGAATGATGATATCTGGGGCTGGTACAACAGGCCAGAATTGGCCGCAGTACAAGAGACTTAGTCCCACCCGACTAGCAATAAAAAAAAGGTCTTATCCTACAACTTCTCATTCCATGGATGCTCATCTATCATCAGTGGCAGATACTGCAGGGCCTCCTGATGCCACATTGCCAAGGGAGTCGGTCTCAGTCCATTCATACAACTAGACACTTAGTTGTGAGATTTCAGATTCTCAGAGCGGTGACTATGAAGTTACAGTCTTCTGGAATATGACTCCATGTAGTTTGGTACCAACGTTGTTACCTGTCTAACCGATTAAGCGTCGATATGTCCCAGAGAACAGGAATCTTATTTAAAGAAAGCAGTCTTCTGGGATTTGGTGCCCTGTAGATGTGGTGTTAACTGACATTTCGGACGAACATATCGTCTCCATCTTCAGGGTAGAAGGAAGAAAGAAGAACATCCGCAAGCGAAGAAACAGTGAGAGCAGGTGCAAGCGGATTTTCTTTTTTCCTTCTACCCTGAAGATGGAGGTCATACGTTCCTCCGAAACGTCAGTTTCGGAGGAACGTGGCGGCTCCACATCTCAGAAGACTGCTTTCTTCATAGTCACCGCCGTGAAAACCTCAAATCTTACGCAGGAATCTCACTTATTTAATTGGTAAATGGAAAGTTTCCTACTCACTGTTTATGTAGGACATTTCAGCAACAAGTTGTGACACAGTAACTCTGTACACAGGACAATGACACATACTCCTTCACGATCTACGGGCATCCCGGAATCAGGAGTGATTGGAACGACGTCATTCTCTCGCCCATCCCGAGCGGGAAGCCCACTCAGAAGATGACGTACTTGATTCGTGGTCTGGAACCGTCTTCACAATACGAAGCGAGAGTGGAGGCAAAGAACCGCTTCGGTTGGAGCAGATCATCAGATAGCTTCACATTCTCCACTACAGGCATAGGTAAGTCCAAGGGTTCTGTTGGATCCTCGCAGTCTGTGTCACTTTGTGATCTCCTTGCACCTGTACTAGCGCGAGAATGGTCCCGTATAGGTTTTGCATAAACGTAAGATCTGAAATCTGATTGAGATGAAAACAACTTCTTGTAGATATACGTAACTCTTAGGTTTTAAACCTGGTTAAGATAAAAAAAATACTCTATGTAGGTCTTACATAACTCTTTCCATAAATGTTTGTGGTAAGAACGGCTCTTCTTAAATATTAATACGTAATTCGGAGGTGGTAACACCGACTGAGGCCGATCACGGTATCCGAGTGGTCTAAGGCATGCACTGTCTTCGCTCGCTTGGAAGCCGGGATCATGGGTTCGAATCCCACTCAGGGCATTGATGTTTGTGTGGTTTTTCTGTGTTCGTGTACAGGCAGAGGCCTTGCGACGAGCTGATCACCCGCCCAAGGAGTCCTACCGTATGTCTAAGATCTAGTAAAACTGAAGTGAAACGGAGAGTTTCATGGAGGTAGGCCTAGGCCCAAATGAGGGCTGTAGCGCCAATGAAAAAAAAACACCGACTGAGGTATGAATGATGCCTTGTAAATTTTACGGTAGCTCTGAGGTTTCTGAAATTGGTTGGTTTGAGAACGAGTTCTTGTAGATTTGGCTTAACTTTGTAGGTAGTACAGAGTAGAAGGCAATCAAAATCACAACAGACCTTTTTTCCAGTTTTGTCTAACATTAAGCGGAGGAACTGTTTAAGTTTCCCTGAAGATACCCCAACTACACACACATATTAGCCACATGATTTCTATTTACATATCTTGTTCATCACCAGAAGAAAATAAAATTACATTAACTGACTCGGACTATTAAAATTCTGTATTGTATGGCGAGATCCATGAAACTAAAATCTGCCACTTTCTAACTATTTAGCGATGCTGTCAGTAGCTCAGAATATAGAGCGTCGAAAGGTAAGGTGGTAAGCCAGAAAATGAGTGAAAACTATGTAAAAGGGAAGGATACGCTGAGATGCTGTCCCTGAGGGACTGACAGTCACAAAGTAACCTCAGCAAGGAAGATCATTCACCGAAAGCGAAGCAGAAATGCTACCTGCTCCACCGCATGGTCGGTACCCTCCACTTTGGAAAGAGAGCATATGTTAAATTTTGCAGTGCATTGTTACCTATTTGTACCATATTTTTCGATATTCATTGTGTTAGCTTTCTGCCCAGTAATCGAGTTCATTGGTTTCTTTTATTTTCAGGGTAAGTATCGGTTTGTTTACTAAACACTTGTAAAGAGCTGGTTCCTTAACGAAAATATAATGTGCTTTCCTGGAAATAGTAGGATCAAAATTTGTATACATTTTAGAGGTTTTATTATTATTATTATTATTATTATTATTATTGCTAGTGGGGTGGGACTAAGTCCCTTGTACTGCGGCCACTTCTGGCCTATTGTACCAGCCCCAGATGATAGGTGAGGGTGATTGTGGAGCAATTGGTGGAATGAAGATTGGCAGGGGAAACCGAGTACTCGGAGAAAACCTGCCCCAGTGCCACTTTGTCCACCACAAATGTCACGTCACCAGACCGGGATCGAACCCGAGCCGCCGCGATGGGAAGCCAGCGACTAACAGCTTGAGCTATGGCACGGCCCCATTTTAGAGGTTACTGGATTTTAGATCGAAATGCTGATGAGATTATTGGGACCTGAGTGATATGAAAGAGAGTAGAACCCCCATGGCTTGCACTGATATCCATAAAATTAGCCTTATTTTGTCACGTATGTAGCATTCGATAAAGGAGCTTGGTTTGGAAAACTTTTCAGAACGTTATCATTTGGGATAAATAGAAAGGCGGAAGGAAAATATCAAAGAACTTGTACTTGAAATAAGAACTGGCACTGAATATTGGCTGTACATTTTTCAGACGGTGAGTAGTTGGGGTGAAACGGGATGAAAATATTGGCCGATGTTGATAATTTTGAAGTTGCTAAGTAACTACGGGTAACTAATTTCATGGAGCTAAGTTCTTCCTTCGAAGCCGCCAGTTGCCCAGCTAGTCAAGAATTCCCTGCGTTAGGTGGGCCCCGAAGGGTCATTACAAAGAATCGAAGTGCGAGGCTCTTTGTAATTAAATTATATAATTAAATAATATATCTTCAGTTATTTATTTATTGACTTGCTTATTGAACGGTCGAAGTAAGGACGATCAAAAGAAAGAAGCGAAACACATTCATACACACAAACAGAAGACAAAGAAGGCAAATTTTGTCATTTTTACAGTCAAACAAATCAGTTAGTTCAGTCACGCCAACTGTCATGAGGCGAGAAATGGAAATATATATACATACTCGTACATTCATACACAATAATTTAATAATTAAGGAATTCCATTAAAAAACATGAATAAGTCAAAATGTTTTGGATTCAAATACGTCAAAACCCCAACACACAACAGCAGCTGAAGCGCATGTGAGAGAAAGACAATTATTGAGGACTAGAGATGGGGCGTAGAACAGCCTCGGGTATGCCTAGTAGGTACAAATACCAATTCTTTAGTTCGGTACTAACAAATTCTCGATTCTGGAACTGTCGCTAAATAAGAATTTTAAAAAACAAAACCAGTATTCCAGTGCCACACTATCACAAACAAGCATCAGTTCTGCAGCTTATTATTGACATAAATGTAAATTCTCTGGTTCTGAGTCACATCAGTTCTCTAGTTCGATACTAAGTTAAATGAAGTTTCTCTAAGTAACATAAACACAATTTCTGTAATTCAGTACTGACACAAATACGAAACGTCTAAGTCTGTACCGGCACAAACTCCAGATCTCTGCTGGAGTACTATACAGTCCCCAGTTCCGTAGTTCGTCACAAGGAACAACCACCAGTTGTCTCGTGTACAACAAACATTCAGAATTACTGGGTTTCAGACTTTGTCTATTCTAAAAACTAAAAAAAAAAAAAAAAAACGCCTCGTGTCGGGAACTGGATCTCTTTCCGTCCTCAGGCAAGGAGGGACGTATCTACACTCTTTGGTCCCTGTGAAAGACTTCAATCACTAGAAAACCCATGTGAGAGTCGGAGGTAACTTTACGACTGGGAGTTTACCGCCCATCACTTCGTCTTGGCGACAAGCCTCTTGAGACTCACGACCATTAATTTTATTTTCCAAATGAACGGTTGCTGTTATAGTCCTTATGTGACATCCTCTCTCACGAGAAGATGGGTTTGACATTTACAATTGATGCTGGTCCTCGCCAGCCCAGTCATTCTCAAGTCCGAGTTCCACGGGCCTCATAATCTCCTTTTACTGTCTCAGATGCGAGACTCCCTCAACCTTGAGAACCAGGTTCCCGTATTTGTATCCCCCAGGAACAAGGTGGCCCGGTCGTCGGAAACCCCATGCTTACATAACCCATATCAGTATGACAACAGTCATATAAATAACCGAAACCAGGCTTTTTTGACTGAAACCTTATAAAAACTCGTGAAAAAATATATCGCATCATACCAATATTTTCTGTGAGTTGGATCCTCATGGTTGACAAGGGGGATTCAGACGGAAGAAGTGTTCAGACTGGGTTGGCTGATCGGTTTGGTTATGTATGCCATATGGGACAGTTATTTTTACTACCTGCTCTTACTTTCAATTTCCAAAATCCTAGCTTCATCAGAGCCTACCTCTTAAGGAACCTCTTCGTGGGCATGTGAGGCTAATTTCAGTTATTTTCTAGAAGACCGTCTTTGAAACTACTCCTGTATTCACGGAACCGCAATGCTAGAGGTCTGCCTCTTTCGCCTTCTGCAACATTCACAGGGCGCATTCATAGACGCACTGTGCCGCCTGTTGCAGACTTCTCTCCGGCCGGGTTTTCATGACTGAAGTTTGTGTTTAGTTTTGAAAATCGTCCTGATATTTTATCGATTCCCTTTATATTTGAACTTTTCTTCTTAAACACCCTTCACATATGGGATATACACAAAACCCAGACGTTTTCCCTCTTTATTCGGATGACAGCTACCCTTTGAATTAGTAACCGAGTCAAGGAAACCTTGGGGTACCGGTTGAGCTGCAGATCACGTCTCGGGCTACTAATTTTATTAAACAGAACTTGTCGTTCTTGAAATTTTCTGGAAGCTTTATTGTGAAGACTCTGGATTAAACCCCTTTTCAAATGCGGGGGATGGTTAGATTTTAAGTTGAGTTATCGACAAGTGTGGGTGGGTTTCGTGTAAACACTGGTGGCCAGCGTCATCCCGTTCCTCATGACCATAACATCCTGAAACAATAACACTTTCTGACAATATCTATAGTGAACCGGATGAGAGGTCTGCAACTACTGAGGTGCCTGAGGAAACTCTGCAGCCGCTCTGGACCATGAAGCCAGATCACAAATATATTATAAACATAACATACAGTGATAGTTTGTGTTGTGCCGAGTCAAGAGCGAGTTTCTCAAAATACCCCGTGTAGATGCTGCTAACGTTGGGTAGAGCTTCCCACAGTCATGCCACTTTTCTACTGGAAGAACTTATGGTCCACCTGAAAGTGTGTGGTTCTCAAATAAACCTCCAGCAGCTCCATGATGGCTTCGACCTGCAAGACACACCGTTCCGCCAGAGTGTCTTCGTTATGGAGCTCATTTCTGATGACGTGTAGCGCTTCGTCGACTGGCACATTAGTGAAAAGACTAACAAGATCAAAGCTAACGAGGTTATCGAGAGATTTAAGGTTTACAGACTTCATCAACTGTACGAAGTGGCCGAATTCTTTACGAAGGATTCTGATTTTCCGACAAGAGGACTCAGTATCTCATGGAGCAATGAGTTTACCCGAGAAGATTATTATTATTATGCGACAGTTCCCTCACTGGTTTCTATAAGGTTTTAGTCCCGAGTGTTCAGTTTTACTCTACAGATTGCGCTAGCGGTAGGTACAGAATGGTTTCATAAAATTTTCCATTTAATCCTATGCATTGTTTTCATGGACAAGGTTCG